AGAACTAGGGTTCTTCATCCCCAAGTGAGAGAGAGGTTCTACTCCATAGAGAGAGAAAAGAAAACAGTAATCGGAGTAGTCATACTCATAATGATGAGGAGGATCTGCTCCGGGATGATGATTTCCACTCCTAGGACGATCTCCAAGCTTGAATTGATGAAATCCAGCTCCAAGATGGCTTCTAGGGTGAGTTCTTCGCACTTTCTCTCTCTAGGGCTCTGTTTTTGCTCAAGAAAATCGATCCTCCCACTTTTTGCTCGGAATAGGCTCTAAAACCAGATTTCCCGACTCGCACAGCCAGGGTGCATGGCCGTGCATATCACCATTCCGGCCGTGCAACTCAAAACGCAGCGTGTCATTTAGTCGAACTTCAGCCCTCTCGCACGGCCAGGGTGCACGGCCGTGCGAGCTTCAGGGGTTGCCCGTGCGTGTCCTCGGCATAAGGCGCACGGCCATATTGCTCACGTGCACGGCCGTGCAGCCTCCCTGGTCTGCCCGTGCAGCTCCCCAAAAACCTCGCCATTCGTCCGTTCTTCGTCCAATCGACCCCAGACTCGCTCCTAAGCCTTCATTCACGTACTAGGACCTGAAACATCACAAACAAGCACAACCTAGCGTGAAATCGGCCTAAAACACGAGAATCAACACCTCAAACGGTGTAAGAACGGGGGTAAAAACATGTGTAAATGACGGTCTATCAAACTCCCCCACACTTAACCGTTTGCTTGTCCCCAAGCAAACCAAGTCAGACACTACGTAAGCTTACACATTTCAATCAACCAACATTGGGGACAAGTCATAAAGGCACAGAACACGTGAATCGCACTGGTTTTCAAACATCAATACATGCACAACCTCAATAACAACCTGGACAACCACCACAAAGGACATTCGAGTGCAGCAAATCGAGTAAAGGAAGAGTCTCCCTTCTGTTCACTGGCCAACCTAGACTTGATTCAACCACTTACTCAAAACAGTCAACTCATGCATCCAACTCAAGACATCAGAATAGAGACCGAGCAATCTAGGTCCTCACCGGGGTACAAGAGCATATAGAAAATGAAAATGAATCACTCACTCTCGACCAGTGGGGTCAGGACAATTTGATGCGAAAGATGCGCATGCTATTTCTCTCAATCCCTATCATCTCTTCACCATGATGGCAGCCTCTAAATGCTAGAGTTCACATATGGGGTGTCACCACTAACTAATCAGGAGGTCTTAGACACAGGTTCAAATGACTGGCTAGGGTCTTGGACATGGGGAAAAGGCCTTTTAGGTGGTGGAAGTATTCATAGCAAAAGGTTCCACATTTTCCAAACACACAATCACAGTCAAACAAACCGGTATTTTCTTTCTGCTATTCTGCATTACTCAATATCTTAAGAACAAAAGACCGAAGGAGGCATAAACATCAGCATTTCCAAGCCAGACTGCTAAGAAACACTACTTACGGGGCATTATTCAGATTTTTGGTAGTGGCTCTCTTTGCTTTCAATCTTTTCTTTGTTTTCTTTCATTTTCTTTTCATTTCTTAAGAGAGCCACCACTTCTGCATAAACTTCAAACACCTGCCCAACTTTTAAGCACTACCTCCAACACTCACATAGACTTTAGCAGAAACAGCAGAGAATATATAAAAAACCACTCTGTGGAACCTTCTAAAAGATGCAACAAGGGTGATTTTTTTTCCATTATAGACCAAAAGGAAGGATGACACACGGCTCAAAAAGGGCTGACTAGGGGATATGACACATCAGGACAGTCAGTTTTGGGCGTGGGCTAATCCTATGCCCCCATCATCTTAGCTAGTGACAACGTGAATGCTACACATCATGGAAGAGGGATCTATCGCACAAGAAAGAAACGAGCAGGCTCAAATCTCACATGGCTACCTATATGCTCTATCTCACATTCTGATACCCTGAACTAGATGCATAAACGACTGTCAAGAACAAGTAATCAGATCAAGTCAGATCAAGTCACAGTTGTCAAGCAAACAGTTGAAAAACTGAACCCCTACATCGTTCTACTACACATCTCAGTCCTCATCATAGGTTGTCCTAGTCGCAAACAAATTGTCATGCATTAATCCGAAAACCAATCAATTCATCCATCAAAACACAGTGCCAATATGATCAAACAGCAGTACTTGGAGCCCTCAAATCGTAAGATTCGGACAGCGGACTAGGATCCAAGCACCATCATAAATATTCCAACCGATACAAAGCATCCCCCCACACTTAAGAACGACATTGCCCTCAATGGAGCAGAGGGAAAGATAAGGGGAACGATGTTACCGGGTAAGAACACTGCTGGGGGACTGGAAGTGGACCAGTCAGCGAGAAACGAACGGGAGAGTGGACAATGCTGCACAAATCGAACATCAGAAACACACTAGCACACTGTGCGTTAGGGATAAGTGTTAGCCCAGACGGCTACATCAAACCACAAAGGAAAAACCAAAAACAAAAACAAACGACACTAAGTTCAAGCTCCGCACACATGGAGCAAACACACAAAAGTCTAAAATGAAAAAGAAAACACACTGAGACGGGCAACGAGTACAGCCTACTCGTCGCCAAGATCGTCGAGGTCGATGTCGTTCATGAACGCGTCATCATCCGCAGCGCTAGTAGCACCGTCATGTGGAGGGGAGTCATCCCAGGGAGTCCTCCAGACAGGTGGCTCGCCCAGGAGCAGCTGGAGCAGGTGCTGCTGGACCTCCTGCATGCGCCGGGAACGGCGCTTCTCCCGCTCGATGTGGGCAAGAGTCACGCCCTGCTGAGTCTGGATCGTGTTCAGCCGCTCGTCATAAGCATCCATCCTGGTCCGGTACTCGGCCTGGTCGGCCGCATACTGCTGATGGAACTGCATCTGCTGATCGATGAGCAGCTGGTTCTGGATCCTCAGCTGCTCGAACTGCTGGGCGAAGTAATCCTGGCCCTGGAAAGCGGAGCTGCTACCCCCGAAATGGAAGTCAGTCTGTGGGGGATTATCAGCAGCATCAGCAGCAGCATCCACCTCCTCGGGATCCACCTCATCGGCAGCCTCCTCCTCCTCTGGTACGGGCTCCGTGGGGATCGGAGGCTCCGAAAACCCATCGACCCATTGAACACCGTTCCTCTCCCGCAACAGCAGCATCTTCCTGATCGTCGTGCTGCCAAAGATGAGGGTGTCCCCCTCCTCGGTGCACCCCTGCAGTGAAAGGCCAAAGAAGGTGGCCAGGCGGGTGATGAGGGGGGCGCAGTGGAGGCTCTTCAGCTCTGTGGCCGTCTTCTCGAAGGTCTTGGCCACCACTGAACCCAGGTGGAGAGGATGGCGGCGCTGGCGGATCGAATGGAGGAAGTACAGGGGCCTCTTCGTGATGGCGCCGGCGCTGTCAGCTGCAGGAGTGTAAGACTTCGCCAGCAGGTGGTGGAGAAGTCGGTTGTCGATCTGCAGGGTAGAGGCCTTCGTCCTCCCTGACCGGAAGGGACGCGTCTGGCCTGGCCGAGCCAGGCTGGTGTACAGCCTCCCGAAGTCCACCTCCGGTGGCTCATTCACCTCGGTGACGTAGTCCTCACGGTCGTCGAGGTCGAGGTCGAGAGCCTCGGCCAGCTCGTGGTAGCTCAAGGACCGGGGGACCCCGCCCAGCCTGAATTGGACGGCCGTACCGTCCTGCCAGTTGTCCGTGGTATTGTGCTTGAAGGTCGTGTAGAACTCCCACACCGGCTCGTAGTAGACCTTCTCGCAGAGCTGGAGCAGACGGCGCCAGGCGGTGTTGGCGACCGCGGCGGAGAGCTGCTCGTAGCAGTGCAATCGCCGAAACTCCCGTTTGGACCAGCAATGGTGTGACCCAAACGGGGTTTCCACGACCTCCTTGAAGCGCTCTGCAGTGGGTCCCCTCCTCAGATCCCGGATGAACGGGTGCTGGAAATTAGGTTTCGCCATTGCCCTGCAAAACAACAACCCAAAGTGGAACCCAAAAGAGCCAAAGAAAAAGGTCAAGCGCACCCCCACACTTAAGAACAGAAAACAGCCTAACCATGGTTTCATCCATAGTTTGGGGGTCAAAATCTCGATAAATCAAGCAGAATCAGGGTGGGGGTGCACATTCACAAGAAAATAGGCAACTCAAGGTTCACATCCATAGCAAATACACCCTCAAACTACATCATTAAGGGCCCCAACCGGTGGCCACAACAGGGCATGGAAAACAGGCATTTCAGCGAACACCTTGTGTGCACTACTAAGTTAAACATGAAATTGGCCAAATTCTTGCACACAAAGGCTTAAACAATCAAAGGGGACTTTGCCCAACATAATTCAATCACATCCCATGCATTCCCCTCAATCAATTTCATAAGATTCACATGATTCAATAAGGTTCTCTAACATACACCCTACACACTCAATTCTCCACAATTAACATAGTTAGGGGCAAAATCAAATCTGGAGACTCAAGTAGAGGTGTAGGGAATGATGAGGGGAAGACAATGGAAGTGACGAAACGCCGAGAAACTGGCCGGAAATGCTCGTCGGAGTCTCGCCGGAAATCGCCTCCGGCGACTAAAACGTCGCCCAAACTCGCTCAAAATCGAGGGATAGGCCGCTTTGGGTGTAGAAAGAGTGGGTTTGTAGTTGGTTTGGTGAAAAAATTACCCAAAGTGGCCGAAAAAATCGAAAAAAGGTGGGTTTTGCGTGGTTTTCTGGCGAGGGCAGAGGATTCCGGCGAGTGGTTTTGGTTTTCTGACCACAATGGCCGTGCAGGCCATATAAATAGGCCGTGCCTCGGCTGCACGGGCAGGGGCGCACGGCCGTGGAAGGCTGGTTTTTGCCCGTGCAGCCGACACGGCCTGGCCGAGGAGAAGCGCACGACCGTGCACCTGGCACATATGGCCGTGCCATCCTTACCGAGAGCTCGCACGGCCAAGGGGGAATACCCGCACGGCCATGCGAGGCATTATGGTGCCCGTGCAAGACGCACGGCCAGGCCAGGACGAGCGCACGGCCGTTCAATAAGCGCTTTTGGCCGTGCGCTTTTGGCCGAGAGCTCGCACGGCCAAGGGGGGAGCCCGCACGGCCGTGCAAGTTGTGGTCCTGGCCGTGCGACTTGTTGGAGTCCCGAAATCAACATGTTTTCACTCAAAAACGACACTGGACTCTGGATCAACGTCTCAAGACTCAAAAACACACAAAATCAAAGGAAAAAGAGTAAGAAAATGCAAACCTCAGTGGGGTTGCCTCCCCACAAGCGCTTCTTTACCGTCTTTTAGCTGGACGCCAGTATGGATGCTCAGGGAAGTGTAGGATCAGGTGCCTTCAAGAGCGGATCCACATCGCTCTTGAGGTACAGCTTCAAATGGTGGCCATGCACGCGATGAATGTGGCCACCTGCATTCGCCAGCTCGACTTGGCCATCCGGTAGGATGCAAGCGAGTGAATACTCGGATGGCCAAGGAGGGGGCAGGACCAGGTCATAGTGGTCTCCAGCTTTCTTTCGAGCAGGCTTAGCTGCCTGCAGTTTCGGCCGCCACTCCTCCTTGATCTGTTCTTTGGGTGACGGAGTGGTCCGGAGTGGCGGCGAAGGTGTGGGAGGCGGTTCCTGCAAAATGGGCAGCACAGAAGGATACACGACAGACTCGTGCTCCTGGTGAGATACAGCATGCAGAGGTGACGAAGCAGGTATAGTATCAGCAACGGAAAACGTTATTCGCTCCTCGCCATCCCTCAAAACTAAGGTCCCATCATGCACATCTATGAGAGCCTTGGCGGTGGCCAGGAAAGGCCTTCCCAGTATAAGAGGCACTTCTGTGTCCTCACTGATGTCCAAGATAACAAAATCCACGGGATATGTGAATTTGCCAACCTTAACCAGAAGGTCTTCCACTATACCCCTAGGATGCACTACAGATCTGTCAGCTAATTGAAGGGTCATCCTAGTAGCACGGGGTTCACCTAGGCCTAGTTTCATGAACAATTTATATGGAATAACATTGATACTAGCAACTAAATCCGCCAAGGACTTCTCTACATGCAATTTATCAATAGAGCACGGGATAGTAAAACTACCTGGGTCCTTCTTCTTCTGCGGAAGCTTGTTTTGCAGAATAGCCGAGCATTCCTCGCTGAGCTCTACCGTGGCCAGCTCACTCAGCTTCTGCTTCTTTGAGAGAAGCTCTTTCAGAAACTTCGCATACTTTGGCATTTGCGATAGTGCCTCCAGGAAGGGCACTTGGACATTCAGCTTCTTAAGCATGGCCATGAAGTTCTCGAACTCTGCCTCCAGCCTGTCTTTGTGCAACCGAGTAGGGAAAGGGAGTTTAGGGACATACTCCTTCACTACTGGTTGCGGTTTAGGTGCAGGCACCTCAACTTCCTTCTCTACTTCCTGTTCAACCGCTGGAGCCGCTAAGACAGGGCTTTCTTTCTCCGGTTCCCGAGCAGGGGGATCAACAGTCATCTTGCCACTCCTGGTCATGATGGCATTGCAGCGCTCATTCGGGGTCGGCGGGTGAGGGATGGTCTGCCCTGGTAGAGTATCAGGAGCCCTTTGAGCCACTGCCTGGGCCACGCTCCCCAGCTGGGTCTGCATATCCTGCAAAACAGCCTGTGTATTCCTCTGACCAGCTTCCAGAGCCAGGAGTTGACCCGAGGCCTTCTCCATGAACTGCTCAAAGGTGTTGAATTTCTGAGCACTAACACTGGAAAGAGAACCCACTGACACGCCAAAACACAACACCAATCTGCGACCAAGTGTAATCGCAGACCGGGAATGCAGTAACAGGCAAGTTATATTATCAACCCGGGGTCTAGATCTACTGCTTACTCAGTGATTCTCTGTTATCTAGCCAACTAGAGTAAGTGATTGTTGTTTAAACTAAAAGCAGAAATAAAGCAGGAAATTATTCGGTTTTCTTAAGCAGGAAAGAGTCACTCGGGAATGAATCCCCCTAGCTCTTTAGTTAGGTTTCAATTGCAATTTACCCTGGGTTGATTTACTGTTGATTAGACTGCGGAAGATCCGGCAGTAGCTTGGAATCTCTTAAGCTGACCAAGCCCTGTCAGTCTAACTACCCGGCAGATGACTAGTCTTCACCGGGATAGAAAGCTGAAGCAGTAAGAACAGAAATTCACTACTGGAATTAGATTCCAGTACAGAGCAGTAAACTGGCTAACTCTCGTATAACCAGTCTCCTACTATCGAATGATGAGACTCTAGCAACCCAATCAGATTCTATCTATCTCAGATTGCAGCAGGAATCAGGAAAAGTTGATCAGACTTCAATTGACTCAATAAACATGCATCATTCGATTATAATCAAACAGTAATATCATCCCAAGTCATTACAATCAATCCCCTAACACATAGAACTAGGGTTCTTCATCCCCAAGTGAGAGAGAGGTTCTACTCCATAGAGAGAGAAAAGAAAACAGTAATCGGAGTAGTCATACTCATAATGATGAGGAAAATCTGCTCCGGGATGATGATTTCCACTCCTAGGACGATCTCCACGCTTGATTTGATGAAACCCAGCTCCAAGATGGCTTCTAGGGTGAGTTCTGCGCACTTTCTCTCTCTAGGGCTCTGTTTTTGCTCAAGAAATTCGATCTCCCCTTCCTTGGCTCGATTCTGGCCTCAAAAACCCGACTCTGGGCAAATTACGGGCTGAATTACGGCCGTAATCACGTCCTGCCCGTAATTCGCCCCAAAACGCACGTTTCAATTAAGCTGAAGGAGGAGAAGATACGCCCGTAATTTCACAATTACCGCCAGTAATTTGGGAATTACGGTCGTAATTCTTGGGAGTCTTGCCCGTAATTTTATCACCGAGAGGAAATTCTGGGGAAAAGGCTCGGCAAATGTTTTACGGGCATGCCCTGACCAATTACGGTCGTAATTTGGCAGGGGCTGCCCGTAATTCGTTCTGTGATTCGCCATCTGACCTCCGAATGACCTGAAACTTGCGCATATGCACCTCTGTTCTTGCTAGGACCTGAAATATGGCAAAACAACACAACCTAGCGTAAAATAGGCCAAGCAACAATCAATTCGAGCCAAAATGGACAAGAAATCCGAGTGAAAACACGTGCAAATACGATGCTATCAAATTCCCCCACACTTAACCGTTTGCTTGTCCCCAAGCAAACCAAGTCAGACACAAGGTAAGCTCACATATTTCAATCAACAAACATTGGGGACAAGTCATAAAGGCACAGAACACGTGAATCGAACTGGTTTCCAAACAGCAATACATGACCAACTTCAATAGCAAACTGGACAACCACCACAAAGGACATTCGAGTGCAGCAAAATCGAGTAAAGGAAGAGTCTCCCTTCTGTTCACCAACCAACCTAGACTTGACTCAACCACTTACTCAAAACAGTCAACTCATGCATCCAACTCATGACATCAGAATAGAGACCGAGCAATCTAGGTCCTCACCAGGGTACAAGAGTATATAGATTATGAATATGAATCACTCACTCTCGACCAGTGGGGTCAGGACAATTTGATGCGAAAAATGCGCATGCTATTTCTCTCAATCCCTAACATCTCTTCACCATGATGGCAGCCTCTAAATGCTAGAGCTCACATATGGGGTGTCACCACTAACTAATCAGGAGGTTTTAGACACAGGTTCAAATGACTGGCTAGGGTCTTGGACATGGGGAAAAGGCCTTTTAAGTGGTGGAAGTATTCATAGCACAAGGTTCCACATTTCCAAACCCAAACAATCACAGTCAAACAAACCGGTATTTCCTTTCTGCTATTCTGCATTACTCAATAGCTCAATAGCACAAGAGCGAAGGAGGTATAAATGTCAGTATTTCCAAGCCAGACTGCTAAGAAACACTACTTACTGGGCATTATTCAGATTTTTGGTAGTGGCTCTCTTTGCTTTCAATTTTTCTTTGTTTTTCTTTTATTTTTCTTTTCATTTCTTAAGAGAGCCACCACTCCTGCACATATTTCAAACACCTGCCCAACTTTAAAGCACTACCTCCAACACTCACATAGACTTTAGCAGAAACAGCAGAGAATATATAAAAAACCACTCTGTGGAACCTTCTAAAAGATGCAAAAGGGTGATTTTTTCATTATAGACCAAAAAGAAAGGATAACACACGGCTCAAAGGGGCTGACTAGAGGGTATGACACATCAGGACAGTCAAATTTGGTCGTGGGCTAATCCTATGCCCCCATCATCCTAGCTAGTGAATGCTACACATCATGGAAGAGGGATCTATCGCACAAGAAAGAAACGAGCAGGCTCAAATCTCACATGGCTACCTATATGCTCTATCTCACATTCTGATACCCTGAACTAGATGCATAAACGACTGTCAAGACAAGTGATCAGATCAAGTCACAGTTGGTAAGCACACAGTTTAAAAACTGAACCCCTACATCGTTCTACTGCACATCTCAGCCCTCATCATAGGTTGGCCTAGTCACCACCAAGTTGTCATGCATTAATCCGAAAACCGTTCAATTCATCAATCAAAACATAGTGCCAATATGATCAAACAGCAGTACTTGGAGCCCTCAAATCGTAAGATTCGGACAGCGGACTAGGCTCCAAGCACCCATATATACGTTCCAATAAATACAAAGAACCCCCCCCACACTTAAATGCGACAGTGTCCTCAATGGAGCCGAGGGAAGGGGAACGATGTTACCGTGAAACAGTGGTCAGGAACGTTGACTGGATGGCGGACCAGTCAAAAGCAGAGGACTGGACAAGGACCAGTCCGACGGGCACAGAGCTAGAACCAACAGAACACACACATGGGGTGAAATAAAACATAGTTCCAAGTCAACAATCCACACAATACGGAACAAGGAATAAAAACCAAACACAATACGGAGTCTAAGTCTGGAAAGATAGACAAAAGCGAAGCCCAACTCGATGGGCTAGCAAAGCCAGCTCAGTACTCATCCCCTCCATCGCCGGTCGGGGGCGGGTAGTTGTCCTCGTGCCCCGGGGACGCCTCCCAAGGGTAGCTAACAGCAGCAGGATCCATGTTCCAGTAGCTCATCATGTAATGCTGAGCTGAGATGATGCGGCGGCGACCTTCGCGCTCACGGTCGAGGCGAGCGTTGAGGTGCTCCTGGCCAAGAAGGATCTGCTCATTCTGGCGGGAAAGGGCCGCCAGCTGCTCGGCAATGTAAGTGGTGGGGGCGGCAGCAGATGGGCCGGCAGCAGAGGTGGAGGCGTCAGGCGCAGAAGGAGTGTTCCGCCGACGACGATTGGCCCGACTGGCCGCAGCAGCACTTGCCTCAGGGAGTTCCTCACCCGCTGGTGCACGAGGAACAGGGCGAGGAAGGCCCCGGATCCAGGTCGCGTCCTCCTCCTTCTCTAGTATCAGCTGGCGCCGTAGGGTGTCCCTGGAGAAGGGCTTCGCCTCCTGGATGAGAGTGAACCTGGAGAGGTCGATGTTGTAGTACCGTGCCAGGGCAGTGACCACCGGCCCACACGCCAGGGGTCGACCACACCGAGAAGCCCTGACGACAGTCCTGGCGATGAGGGAGGACAGATGGAGGTTGTCCACCTCGTGGCTCATGGAGTGCAGGCAATGCAAGGTGCGGAGCTGAAGATGACTGGTGGAGCCCTCGCTGGGGGTGTAAGACTTCCCCAACAGCTGGTTGATGATGCGCCACTCTGGGCGCAGCTGAGTGGCCGTGGTGTGGTCGTGGTGTGGCCCGGTGTGAAAACAGCGCCTGAGAACTCCGGGAGGCAGATCCTCTCGAAGAACTGCTGGTCCCGAAAGATGGGACTGTCGGGCTCTTCGATCGCCAGGTGACAGGCGAAAGGTGGAAGGAGCCCCAGTGCCCGACCAAAGTCATCGTAGCTCAGGGAGTAAAACTCCCCTCCGAGTCGGAACTGGATGGCGTTGCCGTGTGAGCCCGCGTGGGTCTGGAAATGCTCGAAGGTAGAGTAGAACTCCCAGAGAAGCTCCTGATAGGTCGGCTCAGCAAGGCAGAGGAGGCGGCGCCAAGAGTAAGCGCGGATGGCAGCCTCCATTGCCTCGCGAGCGCCCAGCTCCTCGAAAACCCTCCAATCGAGGTAATGGTGCTTAACTAGTTTGCGGCGTCGGATGTCCTTCAGAATCTTCCTCTGGTCGGCGTCGAGCATGGCCAAGTAGGTTGTCATCTTCCTGCAGCCACAAAACAGCAGAAACCCAACAACATACATGGAAATTCGTCAATGGTGAGGTTACAATCATCCTCACCCGGGGCCCTCGAATCATAAGTTCGGACAGTGGACTAGGCCCCAGGAAGGGAAAAACATTCACAATCAATCTGAAACATTCACCATTCACACAACTCAAACGCACTTGGAGCCCTCGGATCATACATCCGGACAGCAAATTAGGCTCCAAGCGGGGCAACCACGACTCATATATACTCGGTAGGCCAACCAAAGAATGAACAAACACAGCAAGCAATACAGGAGGCCTACCGAATTGAGCAAAGCACAAACCAATCCCCGAACTTCCTCACTAAACCCACAATATCAATCCTCCACAAATGACAAGTAAAAATAGAGAAGCACACCTGGAGGCACAAGAAGATATCGCGGGGAAGGTGAGGGAAAAACGAGAGAACACGAAAATCGCCGGGGAGCTCGCCGGAAAGCTCGCCGGAGTGTCGTCGCCGGCGACTTCACCAGAGCC